TAACAATTATTTATTTTAACATTGTTACAATGCCGGGCTGCAATTTTTCGTCACGATTCTCTCAATTTTCTGTGTGTATGGGGTACATGTTGTTTTAAAAACACCAATCATTTGTGTGTTAAAAATAAAATAAAAACAATGAAATCACTACAATAAACAATATGGACATATAACAAGTGGGCGTGAACACACTCATTCTTATATTTGGATGACATGAATGACCACATCTCTTTGGACCATAACCCAAATCCTACTAGCCTTATCTCTTCGTAATGCCCCTACATACGTCCTTGCCACCAGCTCCATTGTAAGAAGTTCGTAACTAGATATTGATAAAAATCAAACACTGCTCTAAGCTCAACTAGTGGAGTGAAAGCCTCAAGGATGCCAAGAAGGCAGGAGATATTTTTCTCCCCATTGCAAATTCCCACATTTTGAGATCTAAACTCAAAATATCGAAAAAAGATTCTTTGTGTTTACATTAATTTAATTTAATATCTCAAGATGAGGTAAAAAGTTTTTTTTTAAAACTCATCATTATCCTTAAAATTAAGCTTTTTTGTTATCTTATGAGTAAATAATATAAAACGTTTCTAAAAATCTCCTAACAGATGGTACCACACAATTTTATTTATTACAACTAATAATATAAAAGTCATTAAAGTAAAATCTCATAAGAACCAGGAAAGTTATGCAACTCGATGCTAGATTTTCTTCAAATGCCTTACTGTATGATGATGATAATAGTCTTAACTTTTACTTGTATGTAATCAGTTTTTATGGCATCACCTGATACACTGCAATAATGAATTCCAAGATTAGAATCACATTTTTCTCCCATCGTGCAGTAACTGTAAAATAAAAACAGATTGGCACTAAAAGTTAGTAGATGGCGCTTCAGTCAATATTGATAAAAGTGATTTATTGGCCCACCAGTGGCCAAATGGTTCCATTGCCTGAACACTGGGCGTTCAGTCATGAATTCGTCTCTCTCCTGGATGGGATGGCCACATGGTGTTTTCACCACATCCAATACCTGAATAGGTGCCAGTTACCCTGAAAAACCTCCCAGAAGGCATCGACAGAATGCGTAACGACCATCATAAATGCATATAACTGCCATTACATGACAATTACATCACACTTTATTAAGGGGCAATGTAGCCTAGAAGCTCATGCCCAAATAGCCAATACAAGATACAAGTGATTTATTTAAAAGTTTTGTCTTTAATGCTGAAAAGTAATTGCATTTATTTTTCTCTAACTAAAATAATGGACTTTTAAGTGTACACTTGCACTCACGTATAAACATAATTCACGTGTTGTGATGTGAGCAGTTATGCTCGTTCTTTCTGTGATTCTCATTGACAAAAATAATTGACTCTACTTGATGCTATAAAGTATCTTATAACAGAAAAAATGGATTCAAAATGCAGACATCATATCCTTACTATCATACTGCTGTTAATCCTAACTACTGGTTCAATTAGTTCGGATTAGCGTGACTGTACCTAATACACTCTTGTTTATTTTATTCTAAAAAGTTAAAATAGTCTAAGAATGACTTTTATTTTTGAACTAATTTTATTTTATTACTTACGCGGATAGATTAGTGTTTAAAAGTAATGGAAAACGTCTTAATTAATGCAAAATAAGCAAGAATTCATGGTAGGAACAAGCAACAGGTTGTTTTAATAGTTAAAAAACTAAATTACTAGATGCCACACAAGTGTGATTCCCTTCCCATAGACTTAACACCATACTTTTGTCACTCCCCACGCCTGTACCTTTCTGAAATCGTTCTTCAGAGGCATCATCTACAGGGTTAAGAGCATTAATTTGATACCTGTACCGTACTTTTAGCCCTAGCCCTTTTCTCAAACAAAATCTTACATTCTAGAACCCTTGTTTAATAAATATAAAGGTTAGATTAGATTGAAGTAGCATCGCTTTATTTTAAACATGCAAAAATTTTGAGGATTGTCAAAGATCTAACCATAAAAATATGGGAAAAGCCTTAAAAAGAAGACTGAAGATAAGTCTCACGTCTTTGAGCGGTTCTATTCAAAAAGAAGCAGGAATAAATAAATGGAAGCAATAATAACTATTTTTAACTTAAGGAACAATTTATATACTTAAGTACTATTATTTACTTCTAGGCAAATCCCAAAGGAGATGGACGTAGTACTGTACCATGCATCGCATTGCTGGATGGAGGACAATGCACTCAGAAATCCACTCTCACAAACACCCAATTAACATGCAATCTTTATAAAAATCTGAAATTCATACATAGTTATAATCTGGATATATTAATACTTGGTTATTTGATATCCTTTTACTGTAATTGCTAATGTGAATACAACAAAAAGTGGAGAAAAATATTATTTTATTATATGTAATTTTAATTCTTACATAAATAGAAAACATGAACAACTGATATGAAACTGAATAATAACAATAATTGTTATTCACAGCTCAGTTTCATATTTAGTTCTCTTACATTTTGTTTCTTTAGTCAGAATAACCTGATGATGATGATGATGATGATATGTTTCTCTCAAAAAGCTTCATATAAAATGGATCTTCTTTTAATGAAGGAATAATTTAATGAAATTTGACAATTCCAAAGCACTTTAAACACTTCTCCCAGAGCACATACCTACTTGACAAAGTACAGGATATGACCCATCCAGCCAGATCACTCTGAAAGTTCACGAGCCAGCCAATGTTCAAACCCATGTCTTTTGACCTTGGCTTCCAGATTTCTATAGCAGAAAATAAAACTAAGTAATAGCCCAACAAATTGGATGTCACTTGAAAAAACAAAATACTAGCAAGGAGTTGGTTGCACTGCTGACTTTTCTCATGACTTTACTTCCTTTCTATTTCTTCACTGGAAAACTTGAATTACGTCAGAAAATATTAAATTTTTTGCAGAGATCATTCAGCATTCTTTGTTGGAGTTTACAATTAAAACATACTTTAGAGCAGGGGTGTCCAACCCGCGGCCCGCGGGCTGCATGTGGCCCAAGGGAAGTTTGAATGCAGCCCAATAAACGTGTACACAAAACCGAAAATTTTTAAAATTATTTATTTATTTATTTATTTCAACTGCATCAACTCAAAAAAGAAGTTTCACAAAGCCGTAAACCTTTATACATATTTTAATTTTTAGTGGAAAAGAAATATTTTCAAATACTTAGAAATGTGTGATGAGGAAGGTATACTAAATAAAGCTGGAGTTGGCTCTCAAAGGAGTATAGACTCAAATTCAGGGGAAAGGAGAAAAAGACCTAAAGATAAAAAGTAATGAGAAAGGTTAAATAGACCTCCTGTTATGCAATATGGACCCTGAATTTTCCAACCTTCCTCACTTCATCTTTTGTCCTCTTTCTCCTTTCCCCGCATTGAGTCTATAATTCTTTGAGTCTCAACTCCAGCTTTATATAGTATTCCTTCCAGCGTTGCAAGATTCGGCTACTTTGCGCCAAATTTGGCTACCCTTTTATTAGTTTGATGTAAAAAATATCAGTTGGCACATTGGCTACTTTTTGGGCTACATATTATTTATAAATATATTAGTTGAATAAAAATGCACTTTAAAATGTTGTTTTGTCGCTTTTTATTAATTAGAGACCCAAATAAAACAAATATTTGTGTTTTTCAAATAAATTTTTGTTTGTCTCCTTTATAATAAATGAATTCATTTATTTCTAAATAAAAATTGAACACGTAAAAGCAATTTTTAAAAATATTCTTTTTTGTGGTAAACTTTTAATACTTATTACTATAATCTAGACATGTTAATACTTAAATATACTTGTATATTTAAGGATCGGGTCAAAATATACTTGTGGCCCAAAACTCCATGACTTCTTCCAATGTGGCCCAGAGAAACAGAAAGGTTGGACACCCCTGCTTTACAGCCTATACAAAATTTGAAAATGCAAGACACCAACACATAGAAGATTGTATTGACAATCAAATTAATTATCCGAGAGTCTGATCTCTCACACCTGTATTCAAAGAATAATAGCCTAACTTGAAATATCTGGAAGAAATTATGAGACAGATTACATTAGAATTTGGATCTCTCACAACAGTTTGCTGATGTGTTATAGTAAAATCATCCATATGACTCTAGGAGCAATTATCTCCAGTCATATAGCAAGACCCCTCCCTCTTAATGCGGGGGATGCGTTCCTAGACAACAAAGTGCTAAGCGAAACAGCATTAAACGAGGTCATTTTAACATAGAGTAAATAGGGATAGGAAAAACACGCAACCAAAAATAAAGAAATTTTACTTTAATTTTAAGTTATTTTTATATTAATTTGTATAATAATATATGTTAAATAACACAAACATATGCACACAGAAATGTAAAGTTCATTTTTTGTGATGAAGGTCCTGACTTTTCTGAAATTCTTGTTCTTTTGCAATAAAGTCGTGAAGTTTCATTCGTCACTGCTTTCTTTCCTTAAGCAAATGTCGGTAGCCGAAGATTGCATCCAAAATGCCTCGTTTTGCTTTTGCACTCCTTTCAAAATCAGGACCATTTGCTACAATTTCATCAACAATTTCAGTTATCTTACCAAAGTTTTACTAAGGAAATCTGTAGAGAATTTTTTTTGGGTTCTTTGTTTTCAAAATCTTTATTTTCCAGTTCTATATGTATTCCTTCTTCTGCCAGTTCTTGAAGGTTGTCGTTGGTAAAGCTCTCACCAGAAACCTGCTGTAACTCCTCAATATTCTGCTTGTTTATATCTCCTAGTCCTGCTTTATTGATTAAGTTGAGTTTGGTCAACCTAAAAATACAGCGATAGACTCTTCTCGTTGAGAATTCTTGGATACCTTCAGCCATAACTTCTTCCACACTTAGTTTGTGCATTTATCAGTTAATTCTTGCCAAGTGAAGTCGATATTTCCTATGGCATCTATAATGTTATATTTTTTCCAAAATTGCACTAAACAAACATAAATTTAAAGAAAGTATACCTTCTTTTTGCCACCTTTTGCTGATTGGTTTGTATTCACAAATAATTGTATTATATACGAATCAACGAAATGCCATGATAATTTAAATCAGCGTAAATTTTGAGCTTTTGATATAACACAGTCTGCTCGAAGTCTAAAAAGGCTTCGAACAGACTGTTATATCGAATCAGCATTAAGCGAGGCAGTGTTAAGCAGGGTCTTACTGTACATATAGAAATGCTACCAGTGCTACCAGCATAAGATGCTACCAGTCTGAGGTACCTTGGTATTGTATTTGACCCAAAGCTTAACTGGACAGAACACGTCCACTATGTGTATGAAAAGGTTGTCAAGGTAGCACAAGCGCTAAAAACAATCAGTAGAAATCAGTGGGGATATGGCCCTTCCTCAAGCAGAATTTTATACACTGCTGTAATTGAACCTATTGTGACATATGGGGCAGAAATTTGGGGTACATCAGTGACAAGGGTCCATATCAAAAGAAAATTACTTTCGATCCAAAGAATAATGGCCATTAACATCGCTAAGGCATACAAGACTGCCCCTACTGATGCCTTACTGGTAATCAACCGAACTCCCCCCATAGACATCAAAATTAGAGAGATCCTCATCAGATTCAACTTAATTAAACTGGCTAACAACCAAATCAAGCAAGACCATTTCAATGCCATTGTTGGTAAGGAAGAGTTCGCACAGGATCTAATTTCTCTAGCGGCCACTATTGCCACAAATATCTTTGATAAATGTTCACCTAATCCTATTCACCCAAGCTTTACTCCTTCTGTATCCCTCGAGACAAGCAACAGTGACAATCAGGACATTTGTATCTTCACCGACGGATCCAAAACAGACCAAGGTGTTGGGAGTGCCTTTGTGGCTTAAAAAGGCAAAGCCTGTCTTTATCAGATGCACAGGAAGTTGCCTCCACAATGCACCATTAATCAAGCGGAGTCTTTGGCCATCAGTAATGCCATCGATTGGATCTCTAACACGAATCATAACCGGACTAACCACAACTTCAGAATCTATACCGACAGTCGCATTGCGCTTCAACAGATCGCCAAAATAAACACCACTCTTCCCGTTGTGAAGAAGTGTCTTGGCAATCTACAAGCCCTGAAGAAAGGAAACATCAATGTCTACTTTCACTGGATTAAAGGTCATTCAGGGAGTGCGGAAAATGATAGGGCTGATCTTCTCACTCGTTGTGCATCCGCAAAATCTAATAGCTGCACCTACAAGATAAGTAGTAAGCATCTGAACAATCTTATCCACAACATCATTCTAAAGACTTGGCAAGTCAGGTGGGACAACGATTCTACTGGGAGGGTTACCCACTGCTTCCTTCCTTGCCCCACTGACAGCATGCTTCATCCAAGATATCCCACATTTCAGTTGACACAGCTCCTAACTGGTCACGGAAACCTGAACACGTACCTAAAAAGGTTTCTCAATAAAACGGATGGGCTCTGTGACTGCGATTTGAAGGAGGAGGAAGATCCTGAGCACATAATCTTCTTCTGCCCACACTACTCTACGCAACGCAAGGAGTTAATTCGTACCATCAAGGACGGCTTCCACTGGCCCTGTATGCTTAAGGACTTGATTTCTGACAAGAAAAACTTTTCAGCGATAAAAAGATTTGCTACAGGTATCAGGAAGCTTGACTAGTCCCACTCTGCAATCTATGATCACCCTCAACTGATCATCTAGAAGTTCATCGTCTCCTCTCTCTGTATGTGTCAACTGTGTAATCTAGAGTATATTGTTTTAATGGTTCATTCTGTAATAAATTGGAAAAGCTGTTCTATATGTTCCGCAGTTTTATGTTTTACATCAAACAGCTTCATCTGTTTCCTCTATTAATGTACTCCTGCTAACTGAAGTTAATTTGTTTAATAGCTTTGCTTGTAATCTGTTATATATGTTTACATTGTTGCGCCTTTTCAGTTGTGTTGTATCCATCCGGCTCATTTTGTATTGTTTATTGTCCACACTGTATTAATTTTCTTTTAAATATAGGCAATGCAAGGTGCCAGTGGGTCCCATGACCCACCTTCCCTCACTTCCCACTATCCTATCACACTTACCCCCTCCTTCAGCCCCTCCATACTCTCAACTTCTTCTACCCTATCTCCACTTCCTTCTTACCACAGGCTATACCTCCGAGTTCAGCCCTGTCTATTTCCTAACGCTGTACATATAGAAAAATTTATTATAGAATATACTGATATGTAAAAAATACACAAACTCTTTACTACTTAAATCAGTATCTCTAGTGATTTTTAATTTTTTTCTGAAGATACCTTGAGATTTCTAGAAAAAGCAATGATGTGTTTGATGGATTTAACTAAAAGAGAACAATTAAAACAAAAGAACTGAAATAACGAAAAAGGAAACCAAATTTTAAAACAAATCTCATGGCAAGGAAGTAATTATTTATCATTAATGCTCTCTACATATGAAAAGACCTTTCTTAATATTAGGAGTTCAACCACATATTGGAGTGTTTGCGGCTGCTTCGTGCCCGTGTAGCTTACCTAGCAAAAATGGCTCATAGCATCATGGGAAAAAAGGCGGGGCTTAGGAGCGTGAGCGAGCGTACGCTAGCTCCCGCATCCTGTAGTTTGCAGCAGCTCTTATATGTCAGGTTTCTCGAATCATTGTCGCTTGTTGTAGGTTAGGTATAATGCCATTTTCATTGGAATATATCACTAAGGCGGTATTGCTTTTCTTTTTTCCGATGTCTGTTTTGTGCTCACAGAGGTGTTGTTTGAGCGATCTTTTTGTAGATCCGACATATTTGAGGTCCCTAGTCAATCTTTTATCCTTTAACAAAATTTTATATACTCCTGGTGTTCTTTCAAATTCAGCCTGACCTTTCTCATTTCTCAACATGGCAAATGTATCTGGCTTACATCTGTAAGCTATTTTTTCATTAGAGTAAGCTCCAATCACAAAATGGATATCAAGAGTATGTCAGGCTATTTATAACGCAACACTATAACAACTGGTGCAGGCACACATTGTTTGGAGATTCGAATTTTGAAATTTAAAAAAATAAATTCCAAAGACAGAAGCATTGGAGACCTGAACAGTTAAAAATCAGAATCGCACCAAAAAAATTATAAAACATCTGAGGAAGACCCTAGAAGTGTGTCAAAAACATTTTTGTGTTACATTTTTTAATTAGCTACTACAAACCTATACAAGGTTAGCATGACATATCTGTAATATTTGAATATAACATTTTATACCCAAATTAATATGTATGAATTGTTTTAATTTTAAACTTCAACAAAACAGGAATTTACAAATTAAGATTGTTTATCAACTTTCTGAAATCTTTCTTTAGAACAAGTTCTTTCGTGCATAGTTAAATCACCTTTAAAAAATTCATACCTTTTCTTAAAATGGGTTCTTCTCTGCATCTTTTAACTTTGGTTTCTGCTTAAAATTCTTTTTGCATATGTCACACAGGATCTTTAGGCTTTTGTAACATGCATTCTAATGTGTGATATTAGAGTTGATTTCACTTTAAAATGCTTCAGACAAATTTCACATTCAAAAGGTTTGCTATTGGCATGACGCACATTGTGTTCAATTAGTAACAGCAGTGATTTGAAAACTTTTCCACAAATTTCACATGAGAAAGGCATTACATCCAAATGAAGATTCTGATGTCCCATCAACATGGATCTCAGTTTAAATGTTTTGGTGCACAACTTGCATGGAAAAGACCTTTCTTTGCTATGACTCTTCTGATGTTGTATTAAATTTTGTTTGGTCTTAAATGTTTTTCCACATATTTCACACAAGAAAGACCTCACATCTGAATGAACCTTCTGATGCATAATTAATATTGATTTTAAGTTAAATGATTTGGTGCATAATTTGCATTGAAAAGCTCTTATGTTGCTATGACTATCCTGATGTAGTTTTAAGCTATATTTAGTCTTATATTGTTTTCCACAGAGTTTGCATGAATGACGCATTTTATAGGAATGATACTCTTTGTGTACTTTCAAACAAGCCTTTGTCTTAAAACTTTTTCCGCAGAATTTGCATTCAAACGGCCTTTTATCAGAATGATACATTAAATGGGTCCCAAAATAACTTTGACAATGAAATATTTTCCCACAAATCTCACACAGAAATAGTCTATTTTTGGAATACTTCAGTTTTCTCGACTTAACTTCCTTTACATAACGTTTGCACAGGTTGCGGCCGACTTTCGAGCAACATTTAACTTTGAAATGATATTTCCTGTGCTTTACTAATTCAGATGAAAGTTTAAATCTCTTCTTGCATTTTGAACAAGAAAACGGAGTTCCTTCTATATGTGATTTTTTGTGTTCCTCAAAATAACATTTGAAGAAAAACTGTTTTTTACAGACATTACAGGGGTAAGTTCTTTTATTGGAATGTTCAAACAGATGATTGCCGTATAGTATACTATACGAAAATGTCTTCTTGCAAATATAACACTCCAGCTTCTTTCTCGACGAAATGAATAAATGCCTTTTCAAAACTCGATTTCTGCATAATTTCAATTTAATAATAAATTTTGGAATTAAGTTACTAATTCCTTTATAATTTTTCTTGCAGTTATCACGATTAAAATAGTTCTTCATATAAGTCCCTTTGTTGAGGTTATCGGTAAGGACATTCTTAATTATTTCTTCATTTCCTGAAAAGAAATATTTAAGTTATCGAAAATATTTCATCTCCATCTATTAAAAATTAAAATAACAAGTAAAAAAAATAATTATGTATTTCATTTTGATATAATTTAGAAAATATTTTTAATCTATTTTTATTAATTGTACAAGTCGGTGGATAATTTATTAGGAATATCACCACAGTTACATTGCTGCTTAATTTCTGCAAATTTAGTGTTTAATGTAACAAGCCTATTACCAAAGTTATGGCCTTATGTTGCAGAACACACTTATATAAAAATGTATAAAGTAATTTTTGTTACCTCCAATTTCGTTATTTGATGAAGACAACCTTGTAATTTCTGTACAATCAGAACAATCATATAATTTACTATTGTTGACTGAATAAGAGCAATTACAACCTTTGTGGTTCTTGATATTTGATACATCACTTTCTTTCTGCCGTGACTACAATTAGAAACAAAATAATTAATTACATTTACAATATATTTATTCATTCTCCATTTCCAAATTTCGTTTTAATGCTACTAACCTTTAAAGGTGGTGCTTTTCCACTTTCGAAATTCACTTTTTCACAAATAACTTTGCATTGTAATTTTAATTTTGGATCCAGCAGAATATCAGGATTATTATTATTCCATCGTAAATCTTTCACAGTCAGATATCTTTCTTCCTCTTGTACGTTTTCTAAAAGAATAAATAAAGCTTAGAAATAATGCTTAATTTTACATAAAATCTAAAAACTCGCCGTTTATAAAGTTAATGAATTCTGAATCACATCATTTTATATACTAATGTAATATTTTATTAATAAAAATGTTTTACAATATGCAAAATCCTACATACAAAATAATAAATATTGGATTTATGGAAGACTCAGACACTTGAAAAACATAAAAATAATTTAGATATTTAAAGACAGAATATATTTTTCTTTAAATATGAAATTTAAATTAATTTAGAATAGATCACGACCCATCTGACAACAGTAGGCTAATATCTTATTTACTTTTAAGCATCAAAACATTCTCAGAAATGGTTGGGACTAAATACAGCATACCAACCAAATAAATAAACATGACACTGCATTAAGTTGAAGCACTCTTTCAGAGTTATTTCTACCCATTCTTGTTACTGCAAATGCTCTGCACATAGACAGCATAATGATACATGGTGGAAATCATTGCTTGTTGTGAGTGGAGTTTAGTAACAGAATGTAACTTCAGGAACAAAACACTGGCATATATTAAACATGTTGAATGAGGCACATGGTAAGTCAGAAAAAAATAACCGATGTGTATGAATATGTAAGAACTTATGTGAAGGGCAGGAACATTCAAGGGTGAAAAAGCTACCCTATGCCAAGTGGAGGAAAATGTCTTCCAGAGGTGCTTCAAGATTACGTATGAGCACTAGCAAGTGTATTATTGCTCAAGAGTAATACTTTGAAAAAGTTGTTTAAATCTTCTTAAGGGCTGTCAGTAAATTACATCTGCATTTTTCATGAAATTTTGTTCCCCCCTACCCTCTTACTCAAGTTTCCATAAAGTTTTCCTCTCTTTACATGTCCAACAAAACTCCTTAAAACCTTTTTCACTTTATGAATGCCAGATACCATAAGTAGAGATGAAACACAGGAAATTCGAAAATAAATATAATCGTCTTTTCTAGCATTTAATTCTCATTGGTGCAGGACCCATTGTTTACATGCATTCCTCCATTTTACCCGATCTAATGCATCATTTGGTAAAATTCTCATTGTTTCCCTATCTTCTGTGATTTGGTCAGGCCACTGTTTTTTGGTGCGTCCATGAGATATAATTTCTCCTGGGTCATAATAGAGAATACTTTTGCCATTGAGTTGTCATTGCTGCGCATAATGTGTACTTACCAGCATAATCAAGTTTCTTTCATCTTGTCCATATCTGGCCTAACTCTTAGTTGTTTTCTGAAGTTGTTATTCATTATGTGATAAAAGCACATAACACCCAATAATGATCTTAACATTCTCATTTCCACGACATGTATTGCCTGTTCGTGCTCTTTGTGAAATTCCAGAACTCTGACCCACACATTGCTACTGGTTGGACATTTTTGCCTGAATATGCATTGGCATCTTTTTATCACAATGCACCCCCTTTACCTCTCTCCATTTCATCCAGGCTGCACTGATTCATGCAAGAACGTCTGGTGTTGCGTTTTGTCGGATGAGATAAGGGAGCCTGAGTATTTGAATTTTGTAGTTTTTATAATTTCTTAGTAATCTATTAGGACTTTTCTATTTTTATGAGTGCCACATTCTACACATTCAGTTTACTGAATGTTTAATCACAAGCCTTTTTTTGGTCATGCAATCTTTCCAGTCTTGTGCTTATTCTTCAAGGTTCTTTTAATTCTAGTCTGCAATTAACTCATTCATGCCCATTGATGAGTTAAGCTGTCAAGCATGACGTAATTCATATGTCCATTGACGATTTAACTCGTCCAATTTTCAAAAATCATTTCTATTCTTCCTATAAACAAGATAAAGCGGGCAAAGCTTATTATACATTCTATTGGATGTTGTTTATAACCTCAGAAAATTTTGAAAGTATACACCCAATAGAAGTTTATATTTTGGACCACTTTTGTGGTCCCCACCTATTGAAAGAGTATACATGATCGAAAATTTTGTGATATATTAGAGTGTTTACAGTAACTGATGAACATGTCTAGAAACCTGCATTCCCCTGAAATTTTCATGGAAATAACCCACCAACATTGACAAACAGCTGTTCTCAAGGACATTTAGCTCAGTACACCAAACTGTGGCGCCTGTCGTGTGATTTGTTGCGATTTTTTTGTTATGTGAAAAATAATTTGTTTTTAAATAATACATAATAAAGAAAATAAAGTTCTGTGCTAAAATTTTTTAGAAATGTATTTTATAAAATGAAATGATGTATTATTAATTATTTTAATTTTTTGTGGGAGTTTTTCCTTTAAAGCTTAAAAAAACAGGAAGTTAGATTACTAAGGTTAAGCTTAGCATATAATATAAGTAATAAGAAAACTAAAACAAAAATTATTAGAAAATAACATAATACATCTGAGTACTGCAGCTGTGTCAAGTGTCTTTTTGTCAGTTTTGGGTTATATGAAAAATAATAAATTTCTACTTAATACAAAATAAAATAAAGTTTTATACTGAAATTTTTAGAAATGTATTTTATTACTGTTTTCTATATTCAGTACATTTCTCTTTTGATTTCATAACATTTTTTTTAATAATTATTTTTCATTCTTCTCATTACTTGTAATCATTTAAAATACGTCTTTATGTCAATAAATTTACAGTAGAGAGTCGATTATCCAAAAGTCAATTATCCGAAAGAATTCCAGACGGCAAATTTAAATTTTCGCCAGTGCTGTGGTGCTGCAATCTTTGGCTATGTCTTGGGCTACTCAAATATTTTACGTTTTTGATACTAAATTAACTTTTGAAGTATAATTTTTTATTGTTTTTATATTTTTCAATATATTTATTTTGTTTGTACAAAATAAAAAAATAATTTTTAACGATGCAATAGTCTTCGTTAGGTTTAACATAGACGAAAATTCAATGCGAAGCGACACGCAACGGAAAAAAATTTCAACGTGAGATAGGTTATATTCTTTCATACATAATCGGTTATCCGAAATAGTGGTTTTCCGAACAACCCCAGTCCCCAATTGATTCGGATAATTGACACTCTACTGTATTTTCATTTTATGTTTTGTCATGTTTTTCTTTTTAAATTATTTTTTAAGCTAACCTACGAATGGCATCTTTCCAGCACGATAGCAACTCATGCAGACTCATGCAACCACCTTTCAGGCCCCTGTAAAGTTGGCTATCCAGAGAGAAAGGTGCCATTTAGAAAAAATTTTGCCAAATTGAAAAAATATTAAAAAAACTACTGTTTTCAATTCAAATAAATAATATTTTTCAATAATAATAAGGAATGGGCTTACAAAAAGCAAATTTTTTTCTAATAGAAAAGACATTAAAGAGTTAAAACTGCAAATCAAAATAGTTAAAATAAATAAAATAAAATGCAAAAACTGAATAAAATTTAATGTAATAAATGGATGTGCACTAAACCTCAACCCCTCCCCCTTGTCTGACTTTGTCCAACTTGTTGTAATCCTCTCCCTCTCTTACAATATGGACATCGTCAATGGCCAGTCCCAATTTCAAAAATAAAAATTTCCATAAATACCAAACAATCTTCTGAATCACCAGGCTATATTAAGACTAATCTAATAATCTTATATGAAGTAATTATGTCTAATTATTAAATTAGTCCAATAGTTTGGCAGATCATTAGGCATTACTTAAAAATTGGGTTAGTGTATTACTGTTTATTTTCAAGAACTGTTTGACACTATTTGTATAAAAATCTGTTATAAATAAAATACTTTCTCTTTGTTATTTCAACATACCTTTATTCTCGTTCCCATTCACAGTAAATGTGTCATTCGTACATTCGGGTTCATCATGAAATTCTTTTTTCATTTCATATTTGAAATCCACATAAATGTAGTTGTCTTGAAAATATGCACTGTTATTTTTATATATCATCTCTTCTCCATTTTTCAACTATTTTGGAAAAAATTGCATTAAAGTATTATAACAATTGCTTTATAAAGGAAGATAAAATTGTTAAAATTTGTAACGCAAAGGATGATTACAATAAATGATAACATTAACTATTATAACAATATTTAAGCAGTGTTATAACTATTAATACTACATATATTCAATATGTACAATACATATATTGATTAATGGTTTAATGCTTTCAGAATGGAGCTGATGCCAGTTAATTCGAAGTGTGTAACACCAGAGTGGTGTATGCTGTTATATAAGAATGTATCTACTGTTTGTGTGGACTACATTCCTTATTCTTCAGATATAACTCAGCATTTGAGCATGTTGAATATCATTATCTTTGGCCAAACATACATTTCTGATGTTTTCTTGCACTATTGGCCTCAATGTGTGGCCAATGACATACAACAATTAGCAATTATTGTTAAGATGGCTTCTTGCAGAAAGCACATGCAAGAAAAGGCCCATATCTAAAGGGCCATACCTTTTCTGGCCAACTGAAATTTATTTTTGAATTAAAGATACCAGAATTTCCTGGTTTTCCTGATTGTTTCCATGTGCTTATTTGGTGACGAAGACCCCAAGCACAGATATGAAGAAATTATTGACAAAAACATGATATCCCTTGTTCAGGTACAAATCTCAAGCAGTTTCTCACTACTGTATAATTGAGACCAAATTTCTGGACATTGACTTTGTTTTCTACTGACTTGGCTCCTCTATATGTGTAAAATGCCAAACACTAGTTAGACAATCCATGCATTACACATCATCTAAAATTGATTTATTGATGATGTTTATTAGGCAAATACTTCATCAGATTGGTTTTATTTTCTGTACCTACTATGCTTTTGTTGACACTAATTTACTGATGTGGAGTATAATACTACCTATGCACCTTGTTGGCATGCTCCACAAAAGGTTTATATTTCACACAGGGATCACAATCACTTTGTTCTGGACCTGACAAACTGTCATTATTGACAAGATGAAAAAAATACAAGTGGAAAACTGCAATTAAACATTTTTCCCTTGAAAACAGAAAGTGGACCGATATGACAGTTGTTGGCTTTCTGATTAGACCCAGTTACCCAGTATAAACTGGGTCTAATCAGAAAAAAGCCTTTTCTTTCTGATATAGTAGTTTTAGTCTAATTTCTCCATTGAAGTGATCTATTATGCAATCTACTGTGAAAAACTTTCTGTATATACATATTTGATTCTGTCAACACAAGGGAGAGAATATGATTAGTGAAGAAAAGATAGCAGTAGGAAACAGGAGAAGAATCAGTAGAATGAATATGTTTAAGCCTAGAAGGTTCTGTGAGATCTGCAAATATCCGTGGGATTAATATTCGCAGGGATGAATAAATTTGGTTACCACAAAAAAAGGAGGCGAGCAAGATACACGATTAAAACTATCTTTATGTACTGTACAAAAGTTATACACAAGATCACAGGACATGAAGTCGGTATAGTCTTAGACCATGGCAGTTCACACAAAAAGTCTTCATACAGCACTCCCGAAAGATACATTTTCTCCTTCGAACACCAGGAACCAGAATCCATGTTGCCGGTCCCACACACCATATATCACCCCCATCACCGATACAGTACTGCCACACAAAAAATGCCATATACAAAAATATATATATATATACACATATACATATATACATACACTAAAAAATAAAACAGAAGCAAAAGAAAATTTTTTTTTACATGACGACAACAGAGACTGACGATATATACAGATGACACAGTTCTTTAAAATGAAAAGAAAGATATGGATACTCAAATAAAATCTCTCTATATTCTTTGTCATCCATATCATTGTCACTACCTAACATAGGATGAGAATTGATGAGATTCAGATGTTCATATGTATATTTACACTATGCCAAGGTGGAGCAATGGCTGACACAGTGCAATAGTGGGCGATTATAGGCCATGGGCACTGAAGTTGTCCCCAGTCAACAAGACAATTAACCGAGAATGGTCATATCTAAAATTAAATATGTCTGGATGTGATACATTGGATGGAAGTCAAGTCCAGGTAGTACAACTGGCAATGCATCCAAACACAATGAGAAGCTAGGGTATTGAATGATGCACATTGTCCTCTTCACTAGAATTATAGCGGTCATTCTGAAGAGCATCCAAATATAACTCGTAATCATTCAAGTGAAAAGCCATTATTAAACTATTTAAAATGTAATTATAAATATCACTTACAATGTTGATTATTATATGTAATATAACAACTGTAAAAGTTTTAAAATTACAATAATATAAGCCAATATTACAAAAGCAAAGTATCAACACTAAATATTTATATAGTATAGTAATGTATTCTGAAGTTAGAACTGGTGCTGTTAGAGAAAGGCAGATCAGCAAAGTTCAGAATGAAATTTTCTATAGTACTATCATTCTTATTTTTATATAACAAAATTATATTCAACAAAAGTACATAAATTATATGATATATATACTGTAAATGTACACATTAATATATAAAAATATACATAAAATTTAAAAATTTACAACAATATGCTTGTTAAAATTGAAAAATCATTATCATAGTATGCATTATAACTAGGATATAAATAATATATTCCTTTGTTATAACAACAAAATGTTTAAGAAAATCATAGAAATGTATATAAAATGTGAGCAGTAAACAGACCAAGATGACAGTAGACCAGAAAACAGTGAACAAACAAAGGAATTTCAAATGCTTAAATAAAATATTTCTTGCAAACAAAATCTATTCATCATAAAGGTCTATTTACAATGTTTTTACATTGAAAATAAACCTTTAGGAATCAAACACAGTCAGGTGCTTCCACACTGAAAAAATTATTTCAATGAAAGAGCATCAGTTGAAGGCAGTTAATGGATTAGCCACAAGTGTTTCAGCAGTTACTATAGCAAGCATTCTACCAGCTGCATGAGCTATGTGTTAATTAGACATGTGTTCTCAAGTGCAACATTTATCTTCCATTCATTCAATCAATATAAAATCAATCATTTATTAAAATAGTTTTTTTAATCTTTCTCTTAATGTTAGTCTATTGATATATTTTTCTTGCTATCTTTTCATTCAACTGACTTGTTTATAACATTAACAAAATAATGTGGAATTTTTATGAACACCAGTTTACTTATGTAAAAAAATTCCAATCTCCATCTTATATCCATTTTAATTGATCATACAAGGCACATTCAATAAAAAACCACAAAAGTGCCATTGAAAGTTAGGAGAATAAGCAATAGTGTAGTAATTCTGACAAACAAAAGTTCCAAGTCAGAGGCAATAGTAACTGCAACTGGAAACGCCATTGATGCGCAAGAACACAAGACAACAGACCAATAAAATGGCAGCACCTCTCCAACAGTGTACAAACAAAAGCGACGTAGTGTTTTCTGATTTTTGACAAAAACCAATTGACATCCATTGGCATGTGCAGGTACAATAAGGAGATGATTATGAGTTTTACAAAGATGTATGAGTAGTTCTAAGGTTCCAAAAACATCCACAGTTCTCTGGACAATTCTCCATGGCACTCACTGCTGTCAATAGTCACATTTTTGGCTATTGTTCTGGTATCGAGGAACCAGAACAACAGCCAAAAATGTGTAATTAATTACAATTTTTAATTTCCTCATCTAAATGCTATTCAATTTTTAATTACATTTGTTAATTATTTCTTCATTCAAACAACTTTTAAAAGTCAATAAGCACATTGATTATTATTAAAGTTATATTAATACTGTTTTATGGAAGAGAATAAATTTAAGAAACTAGACTACTACAAAATAATAAATGTACTTACAGGCAGATCATTCTCCATAGTGGTACTGTTGTGCTCGGCTTTAATACTTGAGCTATCGATTTCAAATTGCAAACAAGACAAATGATCAATTTTGGCATCAACGTCCCACTCTGGTTCCTTTTTAATGGCAATTTCATCTTCATTCATGTCACCTAATAAAACAAAATTATATAAATTCCAAATATTATTTCCATCTTATTGACTAAAATCTTACTCAGATCAAATTAAACTGTAATTTTTCAAACATTATTCATCCTGCAAACATGAAAAGAGCCTTTGTTCATATCAATCGTACACTTGACTCATCCTGTCAGAGATGAGATCTGACATATCAAAGTCATATTATTTATGAAAAATTTCTGTAGAGCCAGTTTGTAGTTACCCTAGATATCTCACATCTTGAGTATCTGGTTATCAAATGGAGCAAGCCAGTACGTTGTGATTGAATGCTGACTCTCATTGTGACTTCTGTCCCTTTTCTGTCATCAGTAAAGATGAATCTGAATTACATCAGTGAACATTCCTTAATTATGTGTACAATTTTTGAACCATTTTGACTCCTTTCTGTTCTGTACAATAATACAGTATTAGCAAATCAACTCGCCCACCAGTGGTCAAGCGGTTCCGTTCCCTGAACATTTATAGTTTGGTTGTAGGTTTGTGCCTCACCAGGACAGACTGAACAAGTGGAGTTTTCTGGGTTTTCTCTACATCAATAATGATTAAATAGGAGCCAGCAGCCCTTAAAAGACTTCAGAAGGACTAACAAATCAGCAAGCAAATCACCTCCTTTTAATTTATGTTTACAGATCGCAATATCAAAGAAATTACTTTAAAAAGCTGGTTCCTATTTAAGCATTACACACAACAAAAAGCTTGGTAAAATCCATTGACTAGCCCAGTGTTTCTCAACGGGGGCAATTAGTAACAATTTATATTTTGGGTGAAAAACAATTTTCTGGGTGATATAGTAAAACATTATATTAAGAATAATTAGATATTTTATTTGTTATATCATACAATAATTAAACAAATAACATTATACTAGTCACTATTCTATTGAATGCAGTACAAATTTGGTGTTAGCCTTGGTCCTTGGCATTGGAATTTTGAAGTGAAGGGGGTGATACTAAGTAACGGTTTTAGTGAACAAGGTGATACTATGTTGAAGGGAGCGACAACGAAACACTGGACTAACCCATTGATTAGGCACAATGATTTTGATAGAGTTTGATGGTTTTATCCAATTGGCCACTGGTGGACCAGAGGAAGAACAGTAGCATCTACATTTTCTCCAAATTCATTCCATTCTTAAGTACTTTGATTAACTAAAAAAATAGAAATTTGTAAATATCCAAAAATTTAAACAAAATTCAAGCATTTATAAATTTTTCTAAATGAACAGAACAAATGAATCATTGCTAAATCAAATAGTTTTCTAGTAATTAATACCAGTACCCATTTTTCTGATAAATAATAGAATTTACCAGAAAAATTTAATTGATTTAAGAAGTAATTTAATAGTAAACAATAAAAAGCATATAACACATACCAAGACTTCAAAATGAAATAGATATAACCATAAATAGACTGTTTAATTGAAATATTGAAAAAGAAAAACAAAAAAGTAAATATTTGGTGGTGTCAATTAATGGATATGGCAATGCAAAGCATTGATGATCTGTCAAAAGAGACAACTCCTAAACATTGTATGGAAAACTGACTTCTGTTTAGGTGGTAGTTTGTTCAGTACAATTTCTTCAGTAAAAAAAAGAAAAAAGAATTCAATATAATGGTATAACATTATACACAGGCTCACAGCTACCAACACTATATGACCTTCAACAAACACATCTCTCGCGTGCATATTAATGTTTCGTCTAGATAAAGCTACAAAGGATTCTTTGAGTATAAATAGTTATAATTGTAAGTAAGGATGATGATAACATTCTTCTTTAATAACACAGACAGCAGGGATTGTTATTCATTATACAAATGGCAATTATTCGTGGCTCCCATACCAATGTAATTAAGGCAACTGTTAATATGTATACAGCAGGACCTACAGAAGATGGTGGCAAAGCTGACAAGCAACTAAACAGAAGATATGCATAGTAGCTACCATAAAGAATATGTTCTCTCCTGATTCATTATGCCAGGGGTAATGACATTTCTTTTAACTGTTAAACATCTCCCCTCCATCATGCAATTACTACATACTAACAAAGACAAAATAAAACAAATGGATTTGGCAAGTATATATATATATATGATCAAGTATAATAAAGGAAAAGAGGATTTTTACCACATAGGATCAACATACTGTAACAGCATCTTAAGGAGCATTATGACTCTATACAGAATAATAAGCAAAGTATTGCGCATTGATGCAACAAACACTAGATAAGAAGGTCCAAAATTTTTGGAAAAGTCCTATAATCATTAAAAGCTGGACTGATAAACATATGATCCGAATAATAGTGCAGTACTACATTTATTTTTTCGCATGCAAAATTAGAATAGTTAGTGCCTCGACTTCTTTGTATTAGGATAGCAGATGGCCTGCCTTATGATTATAACATTTTTATTTACTGAATCCTTTCTTGCTTTATCTAGAAGAGGCATTAATATGTAGGGAGAGATGTTTGTTCTAGATCATACAGTGTCAAACAATAGAACTATGATTACTAATCAATTCAAATACAGTAAAGCCATGTCTACAATAAATGTGAAAAACTGACTTCAGATACTTTCCTGGTATAAACTCATAGAAATAATAATACAAATATTTAAGTAGTTAATAGACTAAATATAGATGCTAAGTAAATATGACATGAAAAAGTCAGAGTTTACATATTTAATATGCAAGCTCCTTCTGCAGGTTCTTTGCATTTACCTGTTCTCCGGTACCAAGAGGCTCCTCCCACTGGTCCTGTCTCTCGACAGCTTCTTCCAATTTCACATCCGGATCCCAATGTGGTAAGTTTGACCTGTTCTACAGCCTCTGCATTGTCAAGAATTTGCATATCTCGAGAAGAATCTACAACTTCTTCGACGTATTTTATTCGCGTGGCTTTGTACTTTATATTATTTTTCTTTTCTTTCTGAGAATAGGCTACTTTGGTTCCATTACGTCTAACATAGTTGCGATCTCGGGTAGTACTGGCAAGACTTCTTTTTCTCCGCTTTCTTTGCCCTGGAGTATCCATGCCTAAAACTTTGTTTTGCTCGATTTCTGGAACTATCTCAGATACAATGTTGTTCACGTGCCTTTGAGCTAGAATAAGTTCCATTTCAGTTGACTGTCTAGACGTCGATGGCTGCAGACTGTTGCTTCTGTTGTCCTTGTTCCTCGGGGNATTATAGGTAAAGTAATAAGTCATGTTAAGTTTAATATAATAATTCATGTTTATATACCAACTTCTATTATATACAGAAATCGGTTCAAAAAATCAGCTCAAGTAAATATGTAAATTAGTTTGCCAAATAGCGTAGTTACGGGAATTGCACACAGGAGCGGTTTAACCAAAAGCTACAACTTAAATCGTATGTCTTTATGAATTGTAAGTAATACAAATAATAATTACTAGTTTGTACAATTAATGTAATTGCTTTAAGTATGTTCTATGTAAATTGGCAGTTTGGATAATATTGCTAAGATGACTTTGTGAAATTTTGTTCGGAAAGAAAGGGCGACAACTAATATCGAATGAATTTCGGTGTAATATGCGAATATCAACCACAGGTAAAAACAAATATTGTTAAGATATGTTGTAATTGTCAATCTATTTATTTGAATTTTGTATAAATTATAAGAAAGCCATACTTAAAAGCCCAGTAGTCAAGCTGTTATCTACGACCCTGTTTGTTCTCCAATGATTATCGTCGACCTTGTTTGTTCTCCAAGTTGTATATGAAATATGAAATTGTCCATCCTGTACGACATCTGTACAATAGTGGTTTGTGTTTTATGGTATGTTTTTAAAAAAATTTTTTTAAAAAAACAGTTTATCTACGCGCGTATTTTTGTACAAATTTTCTCATGTTTTATTTTTTATGTCTAGTCGGCTGAAGAGGGGCCAATGCCCGAAACGCGTAATGTAAAAGGCGTCCCAACTGAATAAATAGTCAATAAGTTGCCAAGTGTTAAGAAAAAAAAAAAAAGTAAATATTTGGTGGTGTCAATTAATGGATATGGCAATGCAAAGCATTGATGATCTGTCAAAAGAGACAACTCCTAAACATTGTATGGAAAACTGGCTTCTGTTTAGTTGGTAGTTTGTTCAGTACAATTTCTTCAGTAAAAAAAAGAAAAAAGAATTCAATATAACATTATACACAGACTCACAGCTACCAACACTATATGACCTTCAAAAACACATCTCTTGCGTGCATATTAATGTTTCTTCTAGATAAAGCTACAAAGGATTTTTTGAGTATAAAGAGTTATAATTGTAAGTAAGGATGATGATAACATTCTTCTTTAATAACACAGGCAGCAGGGATTGCTATTCATTATACAAATGGCAATTAATTGTGGTTCCCCACCAATGTAAGTAAGGCAACTGTTAATATGTATACAGCAGGACCTACAGAAGATGGTGGCAAAGCTGACAAGCAACTAAACAGAAGATATGCGTAGTAGTTAGCATAAAGAATATGTTTACTCCTAGCATAATGGATCAGGAGAGATGACATTTCTTTTAACTGTTAAACATCTCCCCTCCATCATGCAATTACTACATACTAACAAAGAGAAGGTAAAACAAATGGATTTGGCAAGTATATATATATGATCAAGCTTAATAAAGGAGAAGAGGATTTTTACCACATAGGATCAACATACTGTGACAGCATCTTAAGGAGCATTACAACTCTCTACAGAATAATAAGCAAAGTACAGTAGATCCCCCTATAAGACGGTAGATACAGTAGATCCCCCTATAAGACGGTAGATACGTTCCGTTCTTTATGAATCAATTTTGTAGGAATCATAGTTTACGGACTACGGCTGTTTGAAAGGTTTTCTTTCATAAAATTAATCGATTCTAGACTAATTCGACTCAACATTTCCAAAATACGTATATTTTTTTTAAAATAATCCGTATAAACTACGTTATAAACAAAAAATTGTAGGATTACTTACCGAGTGTGTACCCTTTGACTACGCTCGTTGCTAAAGCTTGGTTTCGTCGCGGAACAGCGCATCAAATTGCGGCCGCGATTTCTGATATTATTTTTCTGCGAAAACTTCGTTGACCTTTGGAGACATCATTAATATAAATAATTTTTATGGCCGTTAAATAAGAAATGTTTCTTTCACAAGAAATGTATAAAATTACAGTACTAAACAGACGATAGGTCGCCTAACTCGCCGTAGCGTGACGCTAGACGGCGAAAAATATATATTTAATTATAATAAAGTTACAATAAATTAAGTTAATATATAATTATATATACAGTACCTAATTTATATATAATTAATATATAATTATATGTACAGTACCTAATTTATATATAATTTATATAATACTGTCCAGACGATAGAAATCTCTCCGTAGCGTGGCGCTACGGACGGCGGGTAAGTAGTTCGGCTGCCCGATGACGTTTTACGTATTATAGGAGTTATTTTTACCGTTGTTTACGGATAATGCCACAATTTTTATAGGAATCATAACTATAGGAAACGGTTTTATAGGGGGATCTACTGTATTGCACATTGATGCAACAGACACTAGATAAGGTCCAAAATTTTTGGAAAAGCCCTATAATCATTAAAAGCTGGACTGATAAACATATGATCCGAATAATAGTGCAGTACTACATTTATTTTTTCGCATGCAAAATTAGAACAGTTAGTGCCTCGGCTTCTTTGTATTAGGATAGCAGATGGCCTGCCATTCTACAGCCTTATGATTATAACATTTTTATTTACTGAAACCTTTCTTGCTTTATCTAGAAGAGGCATTAATATGTAGGGAGAGATGTTTGTTCTAGATCATACAGTGTCAAACAATAGAACTATGATTACTAATTAATTCAATTACAGTAAAGCCATGTCTACATAATTAATTACTAATTAATTTGACTAATCACATCGTACAATAGTAACCTGATAATTTTGGCAAGACAGTTTAGGCTTTAATTAAAATTGGATTATGAGTTGTTTCAATAGTCATATAGTGCACGTGTGTGTAGCCGTGAGTCTGCACATAGCATTATACTGTTATAATATTTTTCGCTCTAGTTTTTCTTATGTTTTATATTGATTTTATATTTTTTATTATTATTTAATTTTTGTATAATCATAATAATCTTGTGATTTTAAATTTTCAAAAGTTCAAGAGATGTATGTTCTCAACAACTTCCCAGCTGTTGTTGTTCTCTTAAAAGAATGGAAATGCTCTGAATAAAAAAAAAAATTGGGTTTTTGAATTAATTTAGTATATTTTTTTTCATCTTTTTAAACCTGGTAAAAACTGCAAATGTTATTTCTGTTAAATCCTCATTCTCCTATGTGCACAGCCTTGTGTTCGTTTTGTTTTTGTTGATTGGTTTATATTGGGGATCTTGATAAGCAAGAGTGCCAAGTCAAGCCAGTTTTATATATGTATGTGCTTTTAGGTCTTTCAATAAGCCATAAATCTTTCTTTTCTGTCATCTTAGTGTTCTACAAACAAGTTTATTGCTTGCAGATATGACAAAATAAGTGGAATTTGTCCATTGTTGTCTAATATAGCCTACGAAACTTTGTCATCTGAGCATATTTGTTGTTGAAGATAGTCTTCTCAAAATGTTTTTTGTATTGAGGAAAAGTTAGTACAGTAGACCCCCCTATAAAACCGGTTCCTATAATTAGGATTCCTATAAAACTGTGAAAAAATTGCGACGGTATCCGTAAAAAAAATAAAAAAACTCCTATAATTACGTGAAACGTCATCGGGAAGCCAAACTATTTTCCGCCGTAAAGTGCCACGCTACGGAGAGTTTGCTATCGTCTGTACAGTATTATATATAAATTAGGTACTGTACATATAATTATATATTAATTATATATAAATTAGGTACTGTATATATAATTATATATTAACTTAATTTATTGTAACTTTATTATAATTATATATATTTTTCCGCCGCGTAGCGCCATGCTATGGAGATTTTATGCTAACTATCGTCTGTACAGTATGTAAATTAGGTACCGTAAGTCTAATACAGAACTGTAATTTTATACATTTCTTATTCAACGGCGATTAAAATGATTTATATTAATGATGTCTCCAAAGTTCAACGACATTTTCGCAGAAAAATAAGTTATTAGAAATCGGCCGCTGTTTGCTGAGCTGTTCCGCAACGAAAACCAGCTTTAGCAATGGCGATGTCGAATGGTGCACACTTGGTAAGTAATCCTAAAATTTTTTGTTTATGGCATAGTATATACGGATTATTTCCAAAAAAAAAATATACATATTTTGGAAATGTTGAGTCGGATTAGTCTAGAATTGATTAATTTTATGGAAGAAAACGTTTCAATCAGCCATAGTCCGTAAAATTCACACGTGTCAGGCTGTGATTGGAAGGACTCGTAAGAAATCGGATTCCTAAAGAATGGAACGTATCTATGATCTTATAGGAGGGGGTTGACTGTAATGTGTCAGACTAAGTGAAATATGACAAGTTGAGCATACTGGTTGGATATCCCATTATAAGATAGTTACATTGTGAGTGATGACTTCTCAGTTGGGCAGATGTACTTTCTTCTCTGCAGTTTTTCTATTGGCTAGCTGTCCATTTTATTAAATCTGATTTTATAGTGGTTAGATTATTATTAAGCTGTTTTTCTGATAACTCTTGCCATTTGCTGTATACATACCTAATTTACATAGCTATACAGACCATTATTGTATGGTTACAATGTTATTGCTTCATTTTTCTTTTTGTAATATAATTTTAAGTGTTTGGAAATTTATAAAAAATTGACTTCAGAACAAATTGTAAATTGTGCAACTAAATATTTTAGCTAAATCTACGATAAGAAGACATCTAACCGTTACAGATTATAATATTTTAGAACAATTTAACAATAAATGTGAAAAACTGACTTCAAATACTTTCCTGGTATAAACTCATAGAAATAATAATACAAATATTTAAGTAGTTAATAGACTAAATATAGATACTAAATAAATATGACATTAAAATGTCAGAGTTTACATATTTAATATGCAAGCTCCTTCTGCAGGTTCTTTGCATTTACCTGTTCTCCGGTACCAAGAGGCTCCTCCCACTGGTCCTGTCTCTCGACAGCTTCTTCCAATTTCACATCCGGATCCCAATGTGGTAATTTTGACCTGTTCTACAGCCTCTGCATTGTCAAGAATTTGCATATCTCGAGAAGAATCGACAACTTCTTCGACGTATTTTATTTGCGTGGCTTTGTACTTTCTATTATTTTCCTTTTCTTTCTGAGAATAGGCTACTTTGGCTCGGTTACGTCTAACATAGTTGCGATCTCGGGTAGTACTGGCAAGACTTCTTTTTCTCCGCTTTCTTTGCCCTGGAGTATCCATGCCTAAAACTTTGTTTTGCTCGATTTCTGGAACTATCTCAGATACGATGTTGTTCACGTGCCTTTGAGCTAGAATAAGTTCCATTTCAGTTGACTGTCTAGACGTCGATGGCTGCAGACTGTTGCTTCTGTTGTCCTTGTTCCTCGGGGCTAAATAAGAAAACAAATCAGTAAATTGAAAATGGGTTGATTTTAACGTAATTAATATGTTAATTAACATAATTAGCTTAATTTAAGGTAATTGTTGAAGTAAATGTTAAACATATTTAAAATTATTGATTATACAAGGAGATTAAATATGAATTACAAAAAAAAAAAAAAAAAAAAAAAAAAAAAAAAAAAAAAAATATAAAGCATGCAAAAAATTAACTAAATTGACTGTTTTAACAGTCAACAATGTTGTTATATACTCTTAACATTAAGTCTATAGAGAAGTAAAAGTGACACTTAATATTATTTAAATAGTTAGCATAAGCATTTAAAATTTATTAATATTAAAAAACTAGTTTTTACCCACGACTTCGCCCGTGCAGCTTTTGCAAGCAAACCCCATTTATATTCAGTATTTCAACAACCATAGTAATTATTATATAACACCTACCACTGATAATGATGAGAATTGCTGAGAATCGAACGAACTGTTTTCAATTTAATCAGTTTTCTAAAACGTTTACAATCATTCTTTAATCAAACCAATATGCAATAATAAATTTGAATTTAAAACGACTCAAACATTTGGTTAAATCGAAATATATAAAAATATTTATAACAATGTCTAAAATGTTATCAATTTAATACACCTAAGTACTCAATGAAGACTAAACATAGTCGAAAAAAAAAAAAATTACATCTAAAATAGTACAGTAGAAGCCATTTTTCAGGTTAAGCCTTCGTCCTCTCCCTCTCCCCTGCGTGAGATTTTTGAAAAATTTCTTCTTATTTTTTTTTATGACGTACCCTAACTGTGTACCAAATTTCACCTCTTTAGATTTGCCCTGGATTATGATGCGTCAATCACTGTCAGTCAGAACAAGTAATTTTATATATTTAGATAATGTAAAAGTCTTTTAATTAATGCATAATTAACAAAAAAATTCAGAAATTCAGAGTAGGGGTAAGCAACAGATTGTTCTAATAGTTGAAAAAGTGAATTGCTAGATGGTGCACAAGCAACTGACAAGTTTGTTTATTCCCACATGGCTGCCTTCTAATAAGCTTAACATTGTATCTTTGCCACTCCACCACAACTAACAGTTGTACTTTTCTCAAATTTCACTTCAACAGCATCATGTACAGGGTAAGAGCTTTAATTTCATACCTGAACCGTATTTTTACTCCCAGCCATTTAATGAAACTAATTGGGGCAAAACCAAAACCCTCTTTCAATTAATTTATAGATTACAAGAGACAGCGCTACATTTCACATGCAACTACCTCTGGTAAAATGACAAACAAACTGCACTAAGGAGAATTAGCATCTAAACACACAACTGCAGCTATAATCTAGCCACACTTCTATCTGAACTGTCCACACTTCTATCTGGACTGTCCACATAGAGGTTTTAAAAGTTTTGTCTTCTCCTCCAATCCAGCTATTGCCTACATCGCAACACTCAGCACATAAGAGAAAACTGTGATCTATAAATAACAGTATAGGTAGCCCTAGGTTTACGCCGGCTCAATTTACGCCGCTGTGCAATTTGCCGTTTCAGTTTAATTCCCCGATTTTTCCTATGCCAAAGTAATTTTCATTTTAGTGTTGACATATTTACCGAGCCGCGACATTGTATATTCGTTAAAACAAAGATTTTCTTTGAATATATTTATTTTTTCTGTTTAATATTATTGGGTATGTATACATTTGCATTAAATTAATATTAAAATACTAAACGTTTAGTTACCCATGAGCCAAGTTATCAAACTTAACAGTCCAATAAATGGCGTCTGAATCCATAGCACCAATGAATGTATCCTGTATCAGTTCGTTCAGGAAAATACCTTACGACACAGTAGTACTTCCGGCGATCACAAATTATCGTTAGTAAGACAAATCTACTTCTCATTGGCCAGACGATATCTATCTCTCCTTAGCCACCTTCAATTTTCCCGCTCAAACTGACCTTATATATGCGCTACAGCGACCGGTGGTCAACCAATCAGTGTCTCCACTTGTCTGTTAGCTCTATGTCGGGTTAACATTTTAAAAATTAAATTTATATGTATTTTGTATTATATTCTATTAAAAACAAAATTATTTGCTTATTTTTCAGTTAGGTAGAACCTAACCCTATACCTCACTTAAATATGGATTCATTTTACGCAGATTCGATTTGTGCCGGCTTTTGTAGGAATGGAATTGTGGCGTAAACCGAGGGCTACCTGTATGGTCATGCCACTATGCTTTAAAATTGGTAATGTGCCATTTTCTGGCAATAGATGACACTTTGACCCTGATTAGCTCATTTTTCTCCTATCATGCCCTATTAATAAACAGTTGTATCTGTTTTTTTTTTTCAGAAAAGCAAAAGCAATTAACTACAAGAATTTATGAATTATTTTTACAATTACTTGTTACAATTTATATTTTCTAAAACAAATGGGAAAACAAAAATTATTAAACATTAAAATAAAAATAAAAAACTTGTATGTACTATGTGTGACAAAAAATGCTGTATACTATGCAAGACTAGAGTCAAGTCATAGTAACCAAAACAAAACAAAAATTTAACCAGTGTGTCAGTGTGTGTCCGTATTCAGGAATTTCCTAACAATATGAAATTTTTTCAATATTGTTAGCCCTTCTATAGTGTGATGTATGTGTTTCTATTCAATTGTAATGTTTCCAGGGTTTGTGTAGTGTGTGGGGTATGATACCTGTAGAGGAGATGATAACAGATACAGTACAATAAGAACTATATCCATCCTTCACAAATGCCTTATTTCCTGGGTAAGTTCTAGGTTTGTATTTGCTGATTTTTTCAATGCATGTGTTTTGTACATTGTGAATGTTTAGAAAGGATATGTCTATAATTTTATTTTTATTTTTATTAAACCAATGGCAATGCTTGGTTCATACAGATGTTAGTTAAGAACAAAATAGCAAAAATAATAAGTTTTAAATAAGCTTAAATGAACCTTCATTTATGCTACCTTTCGCTACCTGCAACTGACCAACAATGACTGTTTCCTGTTCCAATGCATACATCACTCTGTTAAAATATTGAATGTGCACGGAGCCCCGAAAGAACGAAAAAAACAAAAATGTGGGAAAATACAGGATTTATTCATGTACAAAAGAAAATTACATAAGCTCCCACTAAAATTTGTGGGGTAATAGTGAAATTAAGTAAACTGGATCCCTACTCGACCTCACACGTGTACCTCGGGAAACAAAGGCTTGATGCACGTGGTGTTACACATCGAAGGTAGGTTCGTGACAATAGAGCACAACGACCAACTTAATTACTAAGGTTGTAACTATCTTACAAGCTAAGATTAAATTAAGGAAGGATGATAGTATAGCACAGGTAGGAAAACGTATAGAAAAGTTAGAGAAAGGGGGTACCCGAATTAGTTGGATGTGATATCTTCCTGTTGGAGAGGGAAACTGTATTTCAGTTCGACGATACAAATAATTCTTGGTCAGTATCTTCTCTGTTCTTCCCTCGATGGATCACTCAGCCACTGTTCTTATATTCTCCGAGAACGAATCTTGTCCGAGATGTCCGTCCGCTCGCTTCCTCGTCTACTTCGAGAATGAGTCTCCCCCGTTTACCTCGGGGCCCAACTCCTTTCCTGGCCTCGTTCTCGTAACGGTGTTGCCCCCCCAACGAACAGGAAGTGAAGGGTGGAAAAATCCAGAAGAGAGGACAAGGAACACAAAGAAGAATCTTAAACACTAGAGTTATGGCTAGCGCGTATACAATAATATGGCGTTTTGCCACAACTCATCATTCAGCTGATGTAACTATGTAACAGCTATCACGTGAAACACCTTTGCTCAGTTACAACTGTTGACTCTACTGAACGTAACCAACAGCTCTATTGCTACAAAAGTGTGGCCTGCTTAAGCCGCGACAAAAGTGGCATATTTCTGCCCCTTCAAATGCTGCAATTGCTTTGCGGCATAAGTTTGGATCAAGCATAGCCAGTCAGTTGTAAACAATCAAAATTCTTTATAGAGATAAAATTTTGAACATTATTTATACATAAATGTCAATATCATCACAGAATACTATTAACTGTCACTTTCATGATTTTAGACTTAAATTATAGCATAAAACAAACTGACGAATCAAATTAGTGTTAATTTTAAAATATTTTTGGGAGTTTTCATACTGGATAATGAAAAATAGTCAAAGTTATAATAAGGACTATCTACACATTATTAATATGTGATGCCCTCAATAAATTCTTTAAGTCAGGCAGCAAAGGGATTATGAAAGGTATAAATTTAATCATGGAAATGTATAGAAATGTTAAAGCAAGTGTAGGATAGGTAAGTGTTACAAAAAAAGGGTTTAGAATGCATTTTGGAGTATCAAGATGTAACTTTTAAGCCCATATCTGTGTTATTATTATTATTATTGCAGGATTCTGTAAAAACCTCCCATAGCACATGGTCTGCAGGATTGAACAAAAGAACAGTTAAAACTATGACTAGTTGGTGTCACAGCATGGTTTTATAAACAAGGGTTTATTGGGAACAAATACATGACTAATGGAACAATACATGATACAAAGTTCAATCTCGTTACAATGATATTCTTACCCTAATTATCCCTCTCCTGAACTTCCTTCCTTATGCAAAATCCTCCTTTTTTCCAATAGACCGTACAAAAAAAAAAGAAAAAAAAAAAAAGAAATGATAATACTAAGGTAACATCAAATGCAAAGTTGAGGAAATGAGTATACAATAATACATACAAGATTTCCGTTTGGACCAAACAAATTCGTTTGTCATGCGACACTATAGTTAGTCCTTTTACCTTTTGGATGGTTATCTTTTTTTTTCTTGACTTATTTTCTCGATGCAAATGGATTTCCATTTTGATCCAAAATCTCTTCAATTCCTGGACGACCGATTCTCTTGAACCTCTATCATCCCAGTCCTCGCAACCTGCGGCATCCTCACATACGAAGAAATCCCACAAACAAAAAAAGCCTCTTCATGTGGTTTACCCTTTATTTATACTGCCCATGAAAGGATGTTGCTCCGTCCCATGTGACCACACCTTGGGCCAATCACCACATTGCACATCCCACCAGCAGAGAAATGATGGTACCAAGGAAGAAAACAGAGAGGGATCCGCACAAAAACAGACAAGTGACAAATGGAAAACAAACAAAATATAAATAAAGTGAGGAAAAAAAATAATATACACAAATAGCTGCAAAATGCTACAATTCAGTGGCAAAGGAGCTAGATTAATGAGATAGATAGTAATTAAAGAAGCCAAGAAAGGTTAGGAACAGATTAGAGAGAATTAAAAATCAATAGAGATCAGGCTTTTAGAATCAGATATACAGTTCTTAAAATCAAATGGAGTTATTACAAGAAAGAAAATGAACAAGACTTCAAGATAAGTTTAAAAAATGGAATGGAAAGTGATAGCAATGATAGTCTAAAAGACATGTTACTGCTTATAAAAAGCCAAGATGTCAGTAAGCTATTAATAAATGCATTCATACTCTACTTTTAATGGTCTTATATATATACAGAATCTTATATACTACCAAAATATATACACACAATATGAATGTCATAAGAAACGCAATTTCCTATGTCAAAAATACAAATGTGTAAAGCATCTCAAATACCGTTTATCACTACTGAATCAAATAAAACTGTGTACTTTATGTAGTATTACAATTAATAAATTATTCGAAAAAAAATACAGTTTGCTTTTATCTGAGTTAAATTTCTATGGCTGCTTAAATGCATTAGAGAATAAACTGTGGTTTTCCCAATTGTCATAGACATGCAATGAAAAATACAATATAGAATAATGCAAATGCACAATTAAATAAACAGATAATTTTCTGTTTCTGTACAATGTATATAGAAAACTTGAATATACAATATATAGCAATATAAAATAACAGTTTTAAATGCAGATATTTAAAGAATTATCTGAATTTAAAACTGTAAATAAAAATTTTAAAATATTAAAAATTACTGACATATTATATCAAAACATATTTTAAATTTAATTTATCCATATCTATAAAGTAGTTGATTATGATACTTGATTATGATACTCATTTAAACAAACAAACTCGGAAAAACTGCAGCCTACATACCACATAGAAATGTAAAACGGCAGCAGTTAAAGTACATTTATGATTATTTTCAATAAATCCAAGGCACTAAAGATTAAATTCATTCGAGAGTAATATTTAATCAATAATCAGAATAAGAAATTTTGTAATGTTCAAGAACTTTTGCTTTACAATTTTGTCTGCCTCTATACATTTAAGGGTTTGACTTTAAGGACTAAACAGCCTGCTATGTATTATATTCACAAATATACCTTTTACAATACAAATCATGGTCTCTAAGTTTAGAGGTTAAATCACAAACATCAACATTTTCTTGAGGTTGTCATAATACTTTTTCAAGTGTATCAGTGTACTGCTGTTTCACAGTAATGTTTCTAGCAACATCTTTTGAGCATATCAGATTCAACAGCACTTGTGATCTGTCGTCTTTGTTATAACAAGCAGACGAATGTTTTGACTGATGCACTAAGCAACAGACATTCATCATTTGACATAATAACTGAACATTGGTTGGTTATGTGTTGTGCCACAGCCTTGTCAGATCAAACCAAAGAAATGCTAAAATAATAAATCAATGTTAATAATAAGTTCCTACTACACAAAAATAAAATTAAGATGAGTAAAAGGTTAATGTTAACTCTACAGGAAGACCATAAAAGCTTAACTTATGAAGTCAATATATTTACATTAAAGTTGTATAAGTTTATACAAATTTACACAGTTGTTGCCCAGATATATACCTCAAGTGGATGTTGATTAAAAGATCAGTTAAAACATCATAAAAATTCTGTGACAAAAGCTCGACAATTCCAGAATGCTGAACAATGTTAACCTCAGACTTTCAAATGTCTGCTTACTAAGAAAGCCTCCATTCTTTTTTTCTTATATTGTTTTTAACAGCCGTTAATCTTCCAATTGGTCAAGCCATTTAATTGCATCTTCCATCACTTTTGTAGAGAGATTTCATCAAAAATTAGACAAACATGGCATTGCTTCTCAGGCATATTGCTTAATTTTTCTTTTAATTAATCAATCTTGATAATAAATCAGAATCAAATCCAAATTTAACATTAAATTTACATATATATTTTCCTACAGTATTTGGATGTGACAATGACAAGAACTTGTTTCTTTGAAGGAATTCATAGGCAGATGAATCCAAAATCCACTTAGTGCTATACAATTTTGCTAACTGAGATTTGTTTGACTAAAAGATACATTCAATAACTATCTTTTCCCTTTCAGAAAGTTTTTTCTATTCTCTTCATTGGCTGTAACTTTATCTTCAAGAGCTGCAATCTTCTTGAGTTTACAATTTTCCAACTGCTGGTCCTTGAATTTTCTGATATATCTGTACTTAGCAGTATGTAATCTGCACAGTTGACCATAGCACTCATGCATCATTGTAATCTCATTGACCTTAACACTCGTGCATCATTAATACAATGACAACATTAATTTGTGAAATTTGTATATAACTTAACAGATTTCTTCCTATACAGTGTGTTTGCATTGCAATATCCAAAACGATGCATGCAAATTTCATAGATTACATAAAAATACAATTATTGTACTACTTACTTATGCTATTTATACATAACACACTATACCCAATGACGACAACACATCAGAACACGAATTTGACGGATCTTCAATTGCACCATTGGCTAACGTTATTTCAAAATACCAAATAATATAAAAGATATAACAAAACCTTCCTTAAAAACACAAATTGTAGATTAATTTTTTAATAATCTACAATTTGTAATTTTTTAATTACACAAGTTAAAAATAATCAAAATGCCAATCTCTTATCATTAGGATTCGGCTTTCAAAACAAAAAAATTAATAAAAATTTTTCACAATATCTACCGTGTCTCATAAACGTACTTTATACACATCTAAGCTTTACTGCTCGGAGCCCTCAGATTGTTCTTTCGGGTATTCATAATTATTTGCAGGTTTAAAAACCCAAAGCAGACCTCGGTCGAGATCAAAAACATTCTTTAGATGTCTTTATTAAAATTTTGTTACCGGATTTTAAAAGTTCTGGATTGTTTACGAAGATTATTTTTCGAAGACATCGAGCCGTTTTTGCCGTCGACTCTAAGGGCGTGACTGCACAGATTCGAGCGAGCAAGAATACATGACAAGAGAGGTGACAATATTTCACACTGTGTTTCTAACTCTTGTCTGTGTGGTTGTAATAAACAGGAGTGAGGAACAGAGAGCACGAAACGTCATCACCTGTTCTCGCTCTCTCGCGTCTACATAGTCGCACCCTAAGACGACTGTAAAAATAATCTTCTAGTTCTTCAATTTATTAACTCCTTTAAACAAAATTACTGCAAGGACATTTTACTTACTCGATAATACCTTTACAACTTTTGAATTGTTATTTACGTTGGGAGTAGTTTTTCTCTTCCTTGAAGACTGACGTAATTTAGGAACTTTAACAGGCAAATATGACGGGCAATTGGGAAAGTTCGTAGGATAAGCATCACGTGTCAGTTGCCATTTTCCACGTGGCATCTCGACTCTTTTACCCTCAATTATATGCACATAATTCTTAAGTATAAATCTTTCATCAAAATGCAAGTCACATATTTTCGATTTTTTGGAGAATTCTAAATCTCTTCTTCGAGGAATTAAATGTCTCCACTTATCTAACAGGTTCGGATATGGCGTGAAAAAATGACGCTTCTCACGAGATTTGCGCTTGCCAGACTTACACCAGGACACAAAACACTTATTCGGCATGCTGCNATTTTCGATTTTTTGGAGAATTCTAAATCTCTTCTTCGAGGAATTAAATGTCTCCACTTATCTAACAGGTTCGGATATGGCGTGAAAAAATGACGCTTCTCACGAGATTTGCGCTTGCCAGACTTACACCAGGACACAAAACACTTATTCGGCATGCTGCCGTTTCTCTTTCCCGTAGAAAAAATATTACGAAAATGCTCGAAAACGACAAAATTGCTTGATAACCTACTGAATAAACCGACTTATCGCCGCAAAGCTACTCGAGCGACAGCTATCGGCGACCTGACACATTGGATGCGTTCGTTAATATCCGTCCGATGAGTACTGCCGGAATATATGAACGCGTTCGGTGGAAATTTTTAAACGGATGCCGGTCGCGCGGAGTTACGCGGAGGAATAAAAGAACGCACCTATAACTCTAGAACATATCTGACAGAACGGACTCTGGTTGTACGAATGAAGATTTAAATTTATTTATAAATAAATTATTTTGTAATGGATGTTTTAAAAAAGTATTTAAAATTTTGAAAAGAAAATTAAAATAGATTTATTTTATTTATTTATAAATTTAACTACTTTAAAAAAATGCAATTAAATTTATAAAATTGATAACGAATTACAGCCGTGGTTACTAGACAGTCAAGTAACCAATTATAATTTAGTAACCATGATTACAACATACCGTTCGGAGAATCAGTAATCATATTCGGATGGGTCAAAGAACCTCGAGGATTTTTTTTTTGAGTGANCTAGGATATTGAGTAGGAAGTAAGCAAGTACAATAAGACCCTACTTAATACTGATTTGATATAACACGGTCTGCTCGAAGCCTAAAAAAGCGCAAAATTTACACTGATTTAAATTATTGCAGCATTTCACTGATTCATATATAATACGATTATTTTCAAACATGAACCAATCAGCAAAAAATGGCAAAAAGGTGTACTTTCTTTAAATCTATGTTTGTTTGGTGCAATTTTGTGCAATTTTGGAAAAAATATAACATCACGGATGGCATAGGAAATATCGACTTCACTTGGCAAGAATTAACTGATAAATGCACAAAAGTGTGGAAGAAGTTATGGCTAAAGGTATCCAAGAATTCTCAACGAGAAGAGTCTATCAGTGTATCGTTAAGGTGACCAAACTCAACCTAATCAATATAGACAAACAGGATATTGAGGAGTTACAGCAGGTTTCTGGCGAGAGCCTTACCAATGACAACCTTCAAGAAGTGGCAGAACATGGAATTCATGTGAAACTAGAAAATAAAGATTCTGAAAATGAAGAACCCAAAAAATTTCTCTACAGATTTCCTTAGTAAAAAAGTTTGGTAAGATAACCAAAATCATTGATCAAATTGTACTGAATAATCCAGATTTTGAAAGGAGTGCAAAAGCAAAACGAAGCATTTTGGATGCGATCTTCCGCTACCGACATTTGCTTAAAAAAAGAAAACAGCGACAAACGAAACTATAGGACTTTATCACAAAAAACAAAAATTTCAGAAAAGTCAGGATCTTCATCACAAAAAATGAACTTTACATTTTTGAGTGCATATGTTTATGTGTTATTTAACATATATTATTATAAAAATTAATACAAAAATAACTTAAAGTAAAATTTGTTTATTTTTGGTCATGTGTTTCCCTATCCCTATCTACTCTATGTTAAAATGACATTGTTTAATGCTGTTTCGTTTAGTGTTTTGTTGTCTAGGAACACATCCCCATGTTAAGCGGGGTCATACTGTATGAAGTTTTTGTTCATAAACCCAATTATTACAGCCAAACGAACTGCCAAATTATCGGGCTTTAAGCTTGCTTAATGCTACTATTAAAGCAGCCAAGGTAGACATTTACTAGAATACTAGACAAAAAAAAAAGAAATACTGCAATGCATCTAGAAAAGGAACTAGAAATCTTCCAGGCTTTGGGTAAAAAAACACATAACATCCATCTTCTCTTAAATGCATTAAAGACGATTCCACCCACATCAATTGAATCAAACAGGGCATTCTCGGTAGCAGGACTTTTCTTTAGTAAAATAAGAATCAAATTGAGTGATCGAAGTATTGACCATCTTTGCTTTTTAAAATATTATAAAAATTTACACGTTTTTATCAAGAAGAAAAAATATTTATGGAAAAAGTGATTTTTTTATTTACTCTTTTCGCCCTACGGGCATTAAGAGGGCCTCATTTAGCTGGTCCGTTATGAGTTCGGCCATGCCCACAATGCGGTTGGTGATTGACAGGGACTCACACATCCGAACGGATTATCCCCAAAATAATTTCAATAAAGAAAAGACAAAATTGTACATTTCTTAAATAATTTTTCAGAAAATATTGAAAAAAAAAACAATGCAAAATTTTGCGTTTCCTAACATTAAAAAGTCCATTAATCCCTACCTAATATTGTTTTATGTGCCAAAGTGCAGAATTTTTGTACACAATAGGCCTGTTTTATTATTCGTATTATTAAATGTAAATTTTCCGAACTACGTAGTAATAATAGAACAATTTTTCCAACGGATTAATATTGCGCGGGTTAATGCCCAACAATTTTCCGGAAAATTTTCATTCTTGAAAATATTCTGCGGCGTTTATTACGCCCAGAGTCCGCATTGAGATATTGGCTTAGTTTAGTTTGGTTTATGTGGTTTCCGTAAGGCGACACGTGGACCATCTTTCGGAGTAATGCCTCCCGGGAAGACTGTTTTGGTCAACTGGTCTATTTGGGTGCTACAGTCATGAAGTAAACCCGGAAAACTCCACATTGGCGAAGCGCGAATCCACAAACAACTACCTACCATTGTTGTATGTTGTTTCGGACCAAAGATCGATGCCCGCGGTCGCGTTACAAAGGTGGTCGTTTAATACAGGTAACTTATACGAAGACTCTATGGATAAACTATTCGGTGCCAGAAATTTTTTCCCGTTTTGACAGGTTCCCGTCGAATGCAGGTGGTCGCCTAAACAGTTTTCACTGTATCTGATTTGCTGATTTAAACACAGCATGACCACTTGTCACTTCTCGAGATAAACTAATATTAAAATCAAATGTTGTCAATAATTGTAAGCTCATAGCAGAACTATCAACACGTAACACGTGCAATTGTCTTTTGTGATAATTGCTTTTAGGAGCGGCCGCGTGGTATATTACAAATAAAAATAATAGTTTCGCGCTATCAGATCAAAAGTCTTTCGGCAAGCGCTCGCCAACGATACACCTGGACCAGAAACCGAAATCAAAAGGTACCGAAAGCGCTTAGGCAGAGGCGTGCGATAAATCATAAATCGTATACATCAATATCGGAATAACATAGACCAATATAGAAAAGCGTTGCATAATTATTTTTAATTATTGAATGGTTCAATTGTATTTTGATTTCGCAGCTTATGACGCCACCTTACTGTACTGCCTGTTGCGGACGATGAGTCCAAAGAGATAACCACATCGCTGGACTAAAACCCAAATCCTACTAGCTTTACCTCCTCGTTGTGCCCCTACATACATCCTTGCCGCCGGCTCCATTGTCCTGTAAAAGGTTCGTAATTGAATATCGATAAGAATCGAACACTGCTGCCAACGCTCTATGCTCGACTGGTGGAGTGAGAGCCTGAAAGATCCCAAGAAGGCAAAGGATCATATTTTTCTCTCCCATTGCAAATTTCCACATTTTGAGATCTTCTAAACTCAAAATATCGGGAAAAGATTCCGTGTATGTGTTGGCGTTTATTTCGTATAAAGAAAATCCGAAATACTTCACGTGGTCAGCATATTGATAGTGCACGAACCCGCGACCAATTACAGTATCAGTGTTCTGTGGTTTTATTTACTCAGTTGGGGTCCCTTAAAACATATAATTATATCAAATTATTATTTTCATGAAACACACAGTTTTAAGTGAAATATTTCTTGTTCTATTAATTATTTAAATTTAAAAATATATCTATTTTAACTGTTCGGTTGATATACTGTAAATACTTTATTTATGTAAACATCGAATCGTTCTACATTTCTCGTGTGTATGTGTACACCGTTAGTAAATTCAACACGAAAAACTCCACTTTAAGGAAAAAATTTATTTACTGAATTTTTTGTACAAAAATTATCGATTTCTTTTCTATTTTCGTAAAAATAAGTGATCAAAGATCAGGAAAAATCGGAATTCAAGATTTACACCAAAATTATCTCAAAGTTGCCAGGCTTATATAATTTCCTTAATGGATTTTAAATCTTAATTATTAATTAATAAGCGTATTATAATTAAATATAGAAAAATTTGTGTGTTATATTTTTAAATTAATATTAATTAAAACTTAATAAAATAAAATTAAAGGTAAATATTTTAAATAATTTTAAAAATTGAAAAAAAAAAAAAAAACTTAAATACGGTATGTAAATAAACTTTTTCCTTTAGATGGCGCGCTGAATTGAAAGGAAAATGGGCGCTTCTTCTTCATAAACAGTTGAATATGGAGATATTGAATTCTGAGCATTAAATAATTTTATGATATATTTTATATGAAAATTTTTAAAATTAACTTTATTTGCTTAAAAAATCGATTATTTCTTTTTTAGTTGTAATATTGAGTGAGTATAAAGTGAAAATATAGTACAGTAGACTCCTATAACGCGGGTTCCTATAACGTAGATTCCTATAACGCGGCAAAAAATTGCGACGGTATTCGTATAAAGACGCTAAAAGGGACTCGTAAAGCGCAGTAAAACGTCATCGCGGACGAGCAGCCGAACTACTTTCCATCGTCCAGCGCCACGCTACGGAGAGTTTAGGCGGGTAAGTTGAGTTTACTATCGTCTGTACAGTATTATATATAAATTAGGTACTCTACATATAATTATATATTAACTTAATTTATTGTAACTTTATTATAATTATATATATACTTTCCGCCGTCCAGCGCCACGCTACGGAGAGTTTAGGCGAGTAAGTTGAGTTTACTATCGTCTGTACAGTATGTAAATTAGGTACCGTAAGTCTAATACAGCACTGTAATTTTATGCATTTCTTGTGAAAGAAACATTTCTTATTCAACGGCCATTAAAATTATTTATATTAATGATGTCTCCAAAGTTCAACGAAGTTTTCGCAGAAAAATAACTTATCAGAAAATGCGGCCGCAGTTTGGTGCGATGCTCCGCGACGAAAACAAGCTTGAGCAACGGCGATGTCGAACGGTGCACACTCGGTAAGTAATCCTACAATTTTTTGTTTATAGCGTAGTTTATACGGATTATTCCCAAAAAATTATACGTATTTTGGAAATGTTAAGTCGAATTAGTCCAGAATCGATTAATTTTATGGAAGAAAATCTTTCAAACAGCCGTAGTCCGTAAACTTCACACGTGTCGGGCTGCTATTGGCTCATGTATTTAAGGATTCCTACAATGCGAAATTCATGTAACGAGGAACGTATCTACCGCGCTATAGGGGGT